AAAGCAAAGAAAGTCAAGGAAAAGATAAACACCTGGGATTACATCAAACTGAAAAGCTTCTGCACAGCAAAAGAGACATTTACCAAAACAGAGAGACACCCCACTAAATTGGAAAAAAATCTTTGCACTCCAGTCAACTGATACAGGACTGATCACAAAGATATACAAAGTACTCACATGACTCAAAAAAAAAAAAAACAAAATAAACAATACAGTCAAGAAATGGGCAGAAGAACTTAAAAGACATTTCTCCAAAGAGGAAACTCAAATAGCCAACAGGCATATGAAAAAGTGTTCAACATCCCTTATAATCAGGGAAATGCAAATTAAAACCACATTGAGATACCACCTTACACCAGTAAGAACGTCACATATCAGAAAAACAAGCAACAACAAATGTTGGCAAGGATGTAGTGAAAAAGGAACTCTCCTACATTGCTGGTGGGAGTGCAAACTGGTTCAACCACATGGAAAGCTGTGTGGAGGTTCCTCAGTCCTAAAAATGGAGCTACCACACAACCCAGCAATTCCACTACTAGGGATCTACCCAAAGGACACAAAAACATTGATTCAAAAGAACACTTGTACCCCTATGTTTATTGCAGCACTATTTACAATAGGTAAAACCTGGAAACAACCCAAATGCCCAAAAAATAGATGACTGGATCAAGAAGAATTGGCATATATACACAGTGGAATATTATTCAGCAATCAAAAAGATAAACTCATGCCATTTGCAGCAACATGGTTGGAACTAGAAGGAATTATGCTCAGTGAAATAAGCCAGAAGGAAAAAGAAAAATATCGGATGGTTTCACTTATAGCAGGAATATAGGGGAACCCAATAAGACATCAGTGTTAAAAAAAATAATAACAGTACATAACACAACAAAGCAAAAATAGACAATTATAAATCAGAGATATACTGTCAGGGAGGAGGAGGAAGAGGGATCAAAGGGAGGGATGGAGGAACACAGGGGACTGAGGTGATGGTGCACGGGTGCATTGGTGAAGGAAACTCTATGGGGACTACATCTGAGGAGGTAGGGGGGAAGCAAATATTGTTTAAAAATGAACAATGATGTAAAAAATAAAATATAAAATAATATAAAAAATAAAATTTAATTTAAAAAAATAAATGAAAACAAAAGAGAAAATTAAAAATGGCTTTCAGAGTTATACTATATATGCACACAGTGAAAAACAATAAATATATTTACATTCCTTTGTTTCACTGATGTGCCCTGAAGTTGAAAGAGAAAGGGGGGGGGGATCTAATTTGAGAAAATAATTAAGAAACAGAAATAGTTAGGTAAAGGGGAAAATAAGTAAGGGGAAAATACAAGAAAAGAGGGGGGTAAAAATATAAGGAAAAGGAAAGTAAAACTTAATGACCAATCCATTTCTCTGTGTGTGCATGCTGTGTGTGCATATGTATTTATACATATACCACTATATCTATACATATGCCACTACATCAAAGACCACATTTTATCAATTCTGAATCATGTTCACATTTGGGAACTGGAAAATCAGAATGTTTCTTACAATTTCTCCTGTCAGATTTGATAAAATTTGGGAGTTTTATTCTGTTCTTGAAATCTCATCCAAATGTAACAATCCAGGGCCTCCCCTGCTGGCGCAGCAGTTAAGCGCTGGGCCACAAAGCTGCCTGCAGCCTCTGCAGTGCCGGTTCAATCCGTGGCCACTGGCGAGGGTCCCACATGGCGTGACAGACCTCTCCTGCCACGCCCGCTGCTCCCCTCAGCAGTGTATTTTGTCAGTCTGCCTGTTCTGTTCCTTGCACTGGTTCTGGTGAATTTTCTCACCCTCCCACGTTTCTGACTGTACCCAGTGCTTGTATAAATAAATAAACAAATCTTAAAAAAAAAAAAGTAACAATCCAGCTGAAAAAAAAATTAATTTTCACTTCCTAATGCTTATACCATTTTAAAGTAATAATAATGGATCACAACAAATAAAAGAAAATTACATTCACTCAAATCTATTGGTCATATTTTCTACTAATATATGGTATACTAACCAGGAATAATATGAAAAATTCAACTAAGCAGATGCTTCCAGGTACATATTCTAGAGTTTACAATACTCGGAAGTTGTAAATGGTTCACAAAAGGTTTAACCCTCAATACTACACTTCAGTAGAAGACTACTACTCCTTGAATCCAGATGCTGTGCATTTCATAGGAAAGGCATCACGATTTAGAGTTTTTCGTTATTGATACTAGCACAGATGCTATTATCCCATGGAAGATGATGTGCTTCAAGCTACTAATTGTTCCCATAATACCCAGCAGCTTAATTATACACATTAAGCCTACGGTATAGGAAGAAACATTTTTTTCTTCAATATAAAGTTTGACAATTCTCAATATAATCAGCTATGTAGAGACTGCAGCAATTCCTTTTGTTACTTTAGTCATCAGACTTCCTCTCTCTCCTTGTATCCTCACTTCCCCTTTCTCTTCCTCTTTAACTGCTGGTCTAGATGGTAAAATCTCATCTTTTCCCTTTACTTCCCCTCACTTTTACTGCCCTCTGTGGACCTTCTCTGTTTTTCCTCTGCTTTCTCTGAAACTACATGACATGCCTGTGGGTGCGTGTGTGCGTGTGTGTGTGTGTGTGTGTGTGCATTAACTTCTCTGCCCTCTGAACAGATGCTATAATGGAGTTATGTGCTATTAGCATCTTAATCTTTTTCCTTCAGCTAATTGGAAAGTCATCTATTTTCAACAGCAGCTGAGATTATAACTTTAAGTACAGATTCCTTCGGTTTGGGATTCCCTTTTGGAAACTACAGCTATTTCTCAATAATCAAAGAATATGACTTAGTGAGTTAGGGTTAGACTTTGTCAAGGGTTCATTCATAGGGACTCTACAAAGTCAAGTCCTCTTTGAAACCAGTCAGACTTAGAGATACAATGATTTGCCTCTGGATGTTAGCCTCACACTGGTGAACACTAGAGCTCATGTTCACAGAGCATCAGCAAACAGTCACAATATAGTTCAACATTAACATTCCCAATGCTTTGCTAGCAAGAGAATCCTTAGAATTCTAAGTGGAATTCAGCATTTTCTTTTGTGTGGCTTAGCAAGGTTAATCCTGACTTTTAATAAATAAATATTGTGGTTATTGAGAAAATTTTTATTCTTCAATGAAAGGTTTGTTCTATATTTAGGAAATTACCCTTAAAGTAATGATAAATGACTGTGACCACAGACCCTAAGCTGCTTCTACTTTATTGCTAAGCCCGAGATCTTTCCTTGTGATTAAATCCAATAACCACTTTGCAGCCCTTTATTTAATGTCTGTGCAGAATCTAAAATTCTTCCTCTCTCTATTCCTCCATCTTAAGTCTCACACTTCCAGTGAGTTCCAGATATCACATTTATCTCTGACTTTTCCCACTTTTTAATTCATTCCTAAAGGACAACCCCTTACCTGTTGCCACTCCCCAAATTCTATACACCCCTTCTTTTCTCTCCCTGAAGGATGTCCTCTTCTGCACTTCAACCATCAGCTACATCCTTTCTTGGATGTATCAAACGCATCTCAAACTCTCAGCATTTACAACCATAAAGTCATAACATTTTCCATAAAACATGTTCTTTCTTTTTAATTCTCTGCTATGGAAAACAGCAATATCTTACACTCACCAGTCTACCCATTTAGTCCAAACCTGTATCTTTACCATCAGATTCAAATTTCTAATTTCTCCCCTCTCCTTCACTACACTAACTCCCAATATTTTTCAGGAATGACTCTTTGGGTCACCCCTGCCCCTCCAGCCTGGGTGGGTGTCTTCCCTACGTGTCTCTGGGGCACTTTTCTTGTCTTAACATACATGAACAATAGTCTGTGTCCCCAACTCTATGGTGAACTTTTTGAGGGTAAAGCCTGTCTTTTAATCCTCTGTATCCTCTCTGCCCAGTTGGCACTTGAGAATAGTTTCTTGTCAGAACAAATAAAGCAATTCAGATTTGCTACATTAAAAATATGAAGGCCCAAAGGTAATATGATCAAAGTTTATGAAACAATGAAAGGATAGAGAAGCTAAATAGGCAACATTTAAAATTAATCCTTAGAAAAAGGAGAGGAAACTGTTAAATGTTGAAATAGGAATTTAAAGATTTATAGACAAACAAAAGAAGGCTTTACTGGGTAGTTAGTAAACTTGAACTTCTTGTAAAACAATAAGGGGTATAGTAAAAGTTTTCAAATGGATACTTGGTTTATTTAAAGTTTTTTCCAAACCTTTTGAGGTTGATTATGAAGAGAAAATACTACCTTCTAGAATACATTCCTTAGAAGGACCCCTGGAGAACAGGAGATATTTACAGTACCTTTCTTGTAATAATATCAAAATCATTGTTTAAACACATCAGAGTGATGTCCCCTCATGTTCCAACAGCTAACATTCCAGCGACAATTCACCTTAGTGCCTCCATACACCAAGTATTAGCATTTAGAGCACTGATGCAGAGAACAAGGTATGAGGGAGGTGACCAAAAGTCTAGAAATTTCCAAAGCATTTTCTCTAGACCCCTCACCTCTCTCCATACAGAATATTCTTGTGCAAGCCAAGGAACAACTATTACAAAGTCCACATATGACTTACAGAAATAACCTGTGTTCTTATTTTACATTCAAGATCTTTTTCCTCTGCGTGCCTGGAAAAACCCACATAAAGGGATAACTAGACTAATCAAAAGCCAACTATTTCAGTGACTTCAACTTACTCTATGAAAGCCAACTCCTAAAATACAGATGATAAATCCAGATCATAACTGGATTTTGTTCATCCTTTCTTGACCTTTTAATTGTTTTCACTGCTTCATGACATTTAACTTTCATCTGAAGATGTGGCTGATCTAAAGGAAGTTACATAAACATAAAACAGACACTTGCCTTTTTTAGAAACAATATTTAACCTTTAATTCAGAACCTCATGCAGAAATATTTAAAGTACTGTACTCACCTGTAGCTGGGATATGGTTAAAGGATATCGGAATAATATCCAGGTAACGCCTTCACTGCAAGGTGGAATGGTAAGAGAGCCTTCATACACCCAATAATCCCGCAGCAAAGGATCTGTGCAATCACGTGGACATGGCACAGAAAGACAAGTTAATTAAGAATAAGTTTGAAGATTCCAGCAATTATTTTCACAATTACAATGTTTCCAAATAATGACATCACACTGATGTCATTTTCATCTAGAGTCTCACATATGTATTCTTAAACTAACATCATGGAGAAAATAATCAATGGAAAACATGATGAGTCTTCTATTTGTAGTGATTTCTATCAATGCATCACCATAAAAATGCAAATCAAGATAGTTAATAAGGAGAAGTGCACACCAGATTTTGGCTTTTTTTTTTTAAGTTTAATGGAGGATTCACCTGACTTATTCTTACCTAATATTTATTTACTTCTTAAACATGTGTGTTACTAAGCATTTTACTGATTTAGACCTCATTGAGTCCTATTATTAGCCCTATTTTTCAGATGGAGAAACTGATCACAGAGGGTTATGTAATTTGCCTAAGGTCACTCAGCTAATAATTGGCAGAACCAGGATTCAAATCCAAGCAGTCTATCTTCAATACCTCTTTTTTCAAGCATTCTGTTCTAGCTACCTCCTTGTTCTTGTCTAGAAAATATTATATTTTCTAGATATATATATTTTCTAATATATGATATATTTTCTAATATATCATATTATGCTTAGAGAGAATTAATCACTCTAATGAAACCTTTTAGATATTGAGGAATTCATGATTAAATATGACTGCAAAATGTTTAATATATGACAAAAACTGTTTACTATAAAGCAATTAAATGTAAAAAGTAAAAGATACACTGTATCGACCTATTCGATTTTGCTTGAAACACCAAAAAGTGGCACATAATTTAGAGAAGAGAAAGGTAAAGATCAAAATTTTGAATAAAACAAACTTTCTGAGTATTGTATTCTGAGTATTATATGTACAATAATTCTAACTTTTTTCAAGCATTCCAAAATAACTAGAATAATATTTATATAACATTTAAATAGTATCATTGCAAAGATGTTACCTTATAAAATTAAAATTTATATTTCCCTGGAGATGAATAAGAATTTCACTGATCAATGTTGAAGTATATGAAGGCTATGTTACTATGCAAATGCTTTACAAAAAGGCAGCAATTTTTATGAATGATAACCCTAAGAAAACCCTTCAAGAAGTATATAAAACTGGTACCTAAAGCAGAGAATGGTACAGAAATTTAATTAACTAATAATATATAGTGTTTTATATTATATATAATTATATTATATATTATATAAAACTACACATATATAAAACAATTCAGTTATACGCACAGTTAAAACTCATTTTATGCAATTCTCAGATGAACTCTTACCTGGTAATAAAGTGTTAGGATTAAAGCAAGGTATTGTTTTGGACTTCCCCTGAAAAAGAAAAGAATTCACCTCATCTTTACATATAAGCCAAAATTGTATAAATGAATTAAAAACATATTAGTGCTAAAAATTCAGTATGAAGTCTTTTTTGAATGACATCATGAACCCTCATAGATCTGTATCTTCTGTATTTTCATTGTAACAAAAGTGGTTGGTTCCAAGATTCTCCTGCTCTGAATCTATGGCTTACTATTTTGCTATTACAGTTCAATTTTTCCCATAGTTGCTGGTATGAAATGTAACAGTTGCCTGTCTACCATCTTTCAGTCCCATGGCAACTACTTTTCTGACTCCTACTTTTCCTTTTCAGTTAACAAATCCACATAACCAGAGAATTGGACCCTTGTGTAAAATCCCCAAACCCTTGAAATGACTTCCTCCTGCTGTTTTGAGCTCAGCTCCTAACCTACTTGCATTATAACCTGCTTCCCAATTTCTTGTTTTATACCACGTAGATTTGGTAACTCAGCTGTAGGATCTATTCTAGATGCTCTTCTCCAGAGAAAGAGATCTGACACTCAAAAGAAGACATTCAATGTCAATTAGCATTAATCAAACTAGATTTTGATTTCAAGGAAAATATTTGTACGCTTACTCAGTGAATCACCTTTATGATCACTATTTTAATAGTGCAGTTCCAGTTGCTCAAGTTCTAGACCTATCATGACAGATGGATATCTCTTGTAAGGTTCTATTAATGCAGATACAACAGGCAGCATTATGCATAATCTCTCCTCCTTACTTCTAAAGACTATTTGACATACCTGAAATTTGACTATGCACTGAGGCTACTACAGAAGCAAGGGAGGGGGAGAGGCAAGAGCAAGGAGGGGAGGGACCACAATGGATCATGGTGGTGAGCTACAGCAGTCCTGTTGGTAGCTGCAGCGTGATAACAAAACCTGACAGAGGAGATCCTATACTTCTAATACACAAATAAGGATGTCAGACAATGTTATAGCAAAACTAAAATAAATTTTAAAAAATTAATCCAGCCCTATGCCCCTTCTACCAACTTCTTTGACTAGATTGTGCTTTCTCTTGGTTGTTGATTCATTCTGAGCCTACTCAGGAGATCTTCAGCAGAGATTCTTGCCTGGTTCAAGAAGGCCTGGCTTGTGTGCATATAGGTTTAATTGGACTTCATTCCCAAAATAAATATTCTTTAAAATATTTGTTTTGAAGAATGGTTTTTGTAATTTTTATTTGTTTCATTTTGACACCTTTCTTATAAATAATAGGTGTAAAGTTCAACTCAGCAGTCCTGAGTTGTTCAAATCCAGCACATCCACAAGAAAGACCTGTCTTTAAGATTGACCTTGGTTAGTTCCTGGGTGATAGCCTCTGAGTCCCAGGAACAGACTACAAGATAAGAGTGTTTTTGTATGTCTGAGGCCTTGGGCCATGCTATACCAGTTTGACCAGAGGAGTTCATCTTGACAATGTGATTTATGACAAAAGCCTGGTTTTGCTAGGACTTTGGGGCTGTGGGAGAAGAGACAGAGTCAGAAGGAACAAGAGAGGGGTTGAAGCAGAAATCAGATTAGCTAAGATCAGTCACAAACACTACCTCCTTATATAAATGCTGCCTAATAAAATCTCTGGACACCAAGGCTCACATGAACTTCCCTAGTTGGTAACACTTTGTAGATGCTATGAAACATCATTGCTGAGAAAATTAGGTTCCTCCCCACATGACACGGCCCTGAGGAGACATCCAGAAGCTTGTGCTTGTTCTGTTGTAGGAACATTATGTCCTAAATGAATGCTACCACTGATGTTTTATGGACTCCACCCCACCTACATGCCAGAGAGATCCCAGGCGCTGAGGATTACACTTCTAAATGCCATTGGACTTCTTGAAGGGACGGGGGAGGAGGGAAGTTGCTGGGTACTAAGGGTGGAATTAAGCAGCCGTGTTTGGTATAAAACCGAACACATGTGGGTTTTCCTTCTCTTGTTTTTTCCTGCTTTCAGCTTGTACCGGGAATGTCAGTTCGGATAATGTTACCAGTACCACATATTGGACAATTAATCTCTCTCTCTATTTTCCCTCTTCTCATTCCCCCTTGCACATATACCTTTTATTAACTTTTATCTGCATGGCTGCTTTTAAGTCTAATCCTGATTTCTTAAGCATGCAGGTGAGGACTTCCAATTTGGAATACCTTTTTTTATTTCTGGGGTTGCCTATTAATACTTTGAGCTAATCATTGAGCCGTAGGGTTGTTTAAGACTTCTTACATAGCCAGTACTTTCATTTTCTTTTAAATGATAACTTACCTTATACTGTATATCCTGGAGAATTTCAGTCACAGCCTTTAGGCCCACATGTTCTTTTCCTATCTGAAATATATAAATCACATATAAAAAATTCTAAATACCTAGGGTTTTTTTAAAAAAAGAGAGATTTATTTTTATTTTATTTATGCATACAAGAACTGAGGTATAGGCCTGTGGTGTGGGGGGTGAGAGGATTCACCAGAGACAGAGTGGGGAGCAGAACAGGCGGATCTACTGAAATACACTGCTGAAGGGTACAGCGGGCGAGACAGGAAGGTTTGCTGCAGCATGTGGGTTAGCTCTCTGGCTTGGGATAGAACTCAGGTCACAATGGCTGGTGATAGCTTGCTAGTGCTGAGACTTTAACCCCTGTGCCACCAGGGAAGCCCAAATCCTTAGGTTTTACTAACAGTAACTAACAGATGTGAGGCTCCAGTCTATCTGATTGTCCTTGAATAATTAAATAACCTTTTATTAGTTATTATTAAAAAGTCAATATCAACTAAAGTCAATTTACAAGAGATGATAGTACAATAAAGTATTAGATATCTTCTCAGACATTTCTATGAATTCATTCTAAATTCATCTCACTGTGTATAGGTATCAGCCACTATAGAGATATCAAATGATATAGTAATACTGCAGTAAAAGTATTTCAAGGATATTGTTAATTTAAATTATTTAGTATTTGCCCTAATTTTACATTCTTTTTTACATTTGAAATTTACATTCAATTTTACATTTGAAATTCCTGGATCATTGTTATAAAGACACTATTTATGTTAAAACTTTATTAACGCAGAAAAGTGAGTATGTGCTTTCATATCTAGTAGCCAAAGTCAGAATATTTCTTGATTATGACTGTACATAATTCTAACTTTTTGTTCTTAAAAATATGCTGTTTAGAGCAATAAGACAAGAGAAAGACATACAAGGAATCCAAATAAGGAAGGAAGAAGTTAGACTATCACTATTTGGAGATAATATGATAATATACATAGAGAACACCAAAAACTCCACAGAAAAACTAATTAAACTAATCAATCCATTTAGTAAAGTGGCAGGATACAAAAGCAACATGCAAAAATCAGTAGCCTTCCTGTACACAAACAATAAATCTGAAGAAGAAGAAATCAAAAAAAAAATCCCTTTTATTATTGAAACCAAAAAAAAAATCAAATACTTGGGAAAAACCAAACAAAAAAGGTAAAGGACCTATACAAAGAAAACTATAAAACACTGTTAAAAGAAATAGAAGAGGACACAAAGAAATGGAAAGACATCCCCTGCTCATGGATTGGAAGAAGTAACATTATCAAAATGGCCATCCTACCAAAAGCAATTTACAGATTAAATGCTATTCCAATAAAAATTTCAATGACATTTTTCAAAGAAATAGAACAATTATTGATGAAATTCATGTGGAATCACCAAAAACCCCGAATAGCCAAAGCTCTCATGAAAAAAAAAAAGAAGGGAATGGAGGCATCACACTCCCAGACTTCAAACTTTACCTCAAAGCCATAATCATCAAAACTGCATGGTATTGGAACAAAAAGAGACACATGGACCAATGAAATCAAATAGAAAATCCAGAACTAAACCCACAGATTTATGGTCAACTAATCTTTGACAAAGGAGCAAAGGATATGCACTGGAGCAAAGAAAGTTTGTTCAATAAATGGTGCTGGGAAAACTGGGACGCTACATGCAAAAGAATGAAGCTTGACCACTACCTCACACCATGCACAAAAACCAACTCAAAATGGATTAAAGAACTAGACATAAGACCTGAAACCATAAAATACATAGAAGGAAATATAGGTGAAACACTACATGACATGCACCTCAAAGACATCTTTACAAACACATCACCCAAAGCAGTGATAGTGAAAGCAAAGATAAACAGCTGGGACTACATCAAATTAAAGAGCTTCTGCACAGCAAAAGACACAATAACCAAAACAAAGAGAAACCCCACTGACTGGGAGAAAAATTTTGCACCCAACACTATGATAAAGGACTGAGCACAAAAATCTACAAAGAGCTGATGAGACAAAACAAAAACAAAGAAAATAATCCAGTCAAAAAATGGGCAGAAGAGCTAAAAGGAAACTTCTCTGAAGAGGAAATGCAAATGGCCAACAGGCATAGGAAAAAATGTTCAACATCATTTGTAATCAAGAAATGCAAATCAAAACTACAATGAGATACCATCTTACACCAGTGACAATGGCACATATTAAAAAAACTAACAACAACAAATGTAGGTGAGGTTGTGGAGAAAAAGGAACTCTTCTGCACTGCTGGTGGGAGTGAAAACTGGTCCAACCACTACGGAGAGCTGTGTGGAGATTCCTCAGCCTACTAAAGATAGATCTTCCATATGATCCAGCAATTGCACTCCTAGGTATTTACCCAAACATCACAGAAACATTAATTTCAAAGGGTACCTGCACACCTATGTTTATAGCAGCACTATTTACAATAGCTAAGCTATGGAAACAACCCAAATGCCCAAAAATATATGACTAGATCAAGAAGATGTGATACATATACACAATGGAATATTACTCAGCAATCAAAAAAGATAAACACATGCAGTTTGCAGCAACATGGATGGAGCTAGAAGGGATCATGCTCAGCGAAATAAGTCAGAAAGAAAAAGAAAAATACCAGATGGTCTCACTCATAGCAGGAATTTAGAAAACCTAAATAAGGGACCAGGGAAAAGACTAATTAATACAAAGTAAAAATCAAAAATCAACAAGCAACAATAAACCAGAGACACACTATAGCATGGCAGGGTGGGCGCCAGGAGAGGAAGGATTAGGGTCAAAATAAGGGGGAGTGCAATTGTATGGGGACTATAACCAAAAGGAAAATGCATGCATTGTGCAAAAATGAAAAATGATGTAAGAATTATATAAAATAAAATATTTTAAAAAAGAATATGCTGTTCGTAGTTTTCTATTTTAAAATATTCATGTCATTATGTAACAGGGTGGTCCCCAGGAAAGGGGGAGGTTCCCTGCCCCTCCCAAGGGAGGGTGGAGCTGAGCAGGAAGAGGAAAAGCTGGAGAAGAGACTGAGGAAGGAAGCAGGATGGAGCCAGGAGACCTGGAGGAGACGCATGGAGCCTAAAAACACGTAAAGAAACTGCGCTTGTCTTTTGGTCGTGGACTGGGTAACACAAATGTGGGTGAGACCTGTGGGGAGGTGACAATGGCAGCTTTTATCTTGATGTTGATTTTGCTCTTTTCCTTCCGGGCTTGTCTGCTTGTTTCTGACCCTTTTCTGTGGGTCCCCACTGGAAGATGCTTTAGACTTGTAGCAGGCTTTGGGGCCTTGTTCTGGGCCGATCCCATATGGATGGACTTTTACCCACGAGGGGATGAATAACTTTGGGTGCTTCATTTAGAAACTAGACTCTTTGCCTTACCTGTATTGTTTCCTAGTTTAATTAAAGTTCCTTCCCATTAAAGTTTCCTATGTTTTGTGTTGATGCGGCAGATGGCAGAACCCATTTAGAATAGGCAGGTTTGCGGGGTTTGGGCTGCCCCTCTTCCTGTCCTATAACAGATTTGGCGCCCAACGTGGGGCAGGGCCATCCATGGTTAGTCAGCCCCATGGGGAATTGGGCTTCCCTATGGCACTGGCTACCATAAGCACAAATGTGATTTTTGGTTTCTCCAGTGTGTTTGTTTCATATAACAGATTCATATGTCGATTTGCTGTTGAAAAACTGGCTTGGGCTTTGTGAAAATTCTGTGTGATTGTGTGTAATTTGTTTGTAGTGACTTGCTAAGAGATTTTAATTTGTGGAAATTGTTCTGTGCCAGTTTTACTCAAAAGATTAGGCAGTACATTGGACCATGTGGCCAGATCAAAGATGGCGTCTGAGGCCACTTGGAACTTTTTTTTTCTTTCTTTTTGTAATCTCTGCTGTCTCATTAGCATTTCTAAAGGCAATAATGGTTCTTCAGTAGTATGTTGCTTTGTCTTTGGCTACTTCCTGCTCTCTGCCTGATGGATTTTGCAAGCCAATTGTGGAACAGTGGTGTTTAAATTAGCAAATGTATGCCTGGGTGTTAAAAAAAGAGTAGCCTTAAGCAGTAACTGGTAATTGCTGGTATCCTTGATGGATTCTTGGAGATAACTTGAATTTTTGCAAAGTCTGGATCAGAAAAATTAACAAAATTTTGTCTGAGTCTGAAAAAATTTGCTGCTGTGAATTTTGTCTACACAATTTGTTTTGGGCATGTTTGCCATTTTAAATCCTGAATTTGTTCAATTGCTGGTGTAAAACAAGATTCTAAGTTTCTGCTTCCTACTAAGGAAGGTCTGTTATGGAAAACACTCTTTAGGGTGCATCATGTAACTATACCAGGTTTTCATACCTGTGTTGTTGTTGTCCCTCCCTAGTGTGGGGAAGGTGTAATCTGTGCTTAAATGTTTAATCTGCTCTTTCAGCTTCTGTCCCAGAGTGGCTAACAAAAGTAAGGAGATGACTCCTTTTAATTAAAAGTTAATTACTAATATTTTGATTTTGCTTTTTCAGGTTCTATTCCAGGAAACCCAAGGAGTGCCTGCTTGGTGGCTAACAAGAAATGACTCCTTTTGCTTAAAAGTTAACTGTTACTTTTATTCTTTCAGTTGCTGTACAGAATACCCCAGGATTGACTTCTAATAAAAAGTCTTCAACACTGAAAACCCTAATGTAATAAACAAGGTCATGTAACTCTTGTGATTAATAAAACTTTTCCTTCCTATTTCCAAAGTCTTAGGTTTGTGGGATGACAACCGGAAATTTTTCTGCCAGCAACACTCCACATTTTTTTTGAACTTTGACATTTTTTTTCTGAGCCTATGAGACCAACTTTATACCTGAAGCCTACATCGACCGGATGCCAACGGTTCGCTCTGATCCTGTATGGAGTATTTCAACAAAGCCAGCTAAAAATTGCTGTTAGTTATTTTCTGCCCTGTGATTTTATGCAAAAATAATAAAAATGGTTTACAAGTATATTTAGTTTGCAAACTTTTGCTTTGCTGTTAAAAGTTTGGGATCAAGGTTGAGAAAATTTGTGTTTTACATAAGTTGGACCATTTTAACATTTTTTCCCTGTGATTTTGATATATTTACTATCTTGTTTTAGCTAACGCTCCAAATTTTTTTTTCTTTTGGCTTGGATAATGGACTATTTTTAAGTAATGAAACTGTCATACTGGACATTCATGGACAATGCTGCTGACTAATTGTTGCTTCTCTTACACACATTGTAACCCTAAAAAAGACTGTCTCCTAAGACTACACCCTGAGATTGTGCCACCATAGATATGGTGGAATAAAAATTAAAAGGGGGGATTGTAACAGGGTGGTCCCCAGGAAAGGGGGAGGTTCCCTGCCCCTCCCAAGGGAGGGTGGAGCTGAGCAGGAAGAGGAAAAGCTGGAGAAGAGACTGAGGAAGGAAGCAGGATGGAGCCAGAAGACCTGGAGGAGACGCATGGAGCCTAAAAACACGTAAAGAAACTGCGCTTGTCTTTTGGTCGTGGACTGGGTAACACAAATGTGGGTGAGACCTGTGGGGAGGTGACAATGGCAGCTTTTATCTTGATGTTGATTTTGCTCTTTTCCTTCCGGGCTTGTCTGCTTGTTTCTGACCCTTTTCTGTGGGTCCCCACTGGAAGATGCTTTAGACTTGTAGCAGGCTTTGGGGCCTTGTTCTGGGCCGATCCCATATGGATGGACTTTTACCCACGAGGGGATGAATAACTTTGGGTGCTTCATTTAGAAACTAGACTCTTTGCCTTACCTGTATTGTTTCCTAGTTTAATTAAAGTTCCTTCCCATTAAAGTTTCCTATGTTTTGTGTTGATGCGGCAGATGGCAGAACCCATTTAGAATAGGCAGGTTTGCGGGGTTTGGGCTGCCCCTCTTCCTGTCCTATAACAATTACATAGTTTATAAAATGTTCTGAAAATTTTGACACTGAAAAATAATCTGATATTAAGTATTCTTGACATTAACTTTCAAAATTATAAGTATAATCTGATTTCCATTTTTCAACCAAGTTACCATGAAAATGTTCTACATGGTAATAAGAGGACAACAATAGTAGAGGTAATTTACACCCTGGATAAGCAATCATTGTTATCATTTGCTTTATCTTCCACATAAATTTTTGGAGATGACCTATAAGGAGCTAGACAGGTGCTGTCCACATGTCAACATTTTCTCTCCCTCTCCCTGTGAAGCAATTGTGAAATATGCTAGGTAACAGGGAATCAAAAAGGAAAGAAAGACAAGAAACTTACATAATCTAAAGTCAATACATGCAAAATAATCTAGATTTAACCTATTTTTCAAGTGTTCAAGATTCCCGAGATAAGCTCTGAAAACTAAAAATGAATTCTCTGAATTGAAAAAAAAAAATTACCCGAGGCAAATTTTGCACTCATGAGTGCAAAAGCCCAAACCTTAAGAAAGAAGACATCACCAAATCTTCAAAGGAAATGGACCGTTCTTTGTTCTGTGGGTTTAACCATGCTATAACATTTGGATGCCTGCACCCATATCTGGGATCTGTTTTCATTTCATGTATCTCCCATCAGAATATAACCTTTTGAAGATACATATCTGAGTGTTGTAAGGCCACATAATTTAGAAGTCCAGGAGCAAGGTCACTTGTGTTGGATTCCTGAGTTCCGATCTTGACTCACTTTTTGCCTTGAGCAAATTTACTTAACCTCTATGTTCTTTGGCTTCCTCATTTATACAGTGGGGAGGATAAAAGTGATAGGACTGAAGATAAGACTACATCAACAAAGAACTTAGAACAGGGTGCAGTGTATTGTCATTCAATTAATACCACCTGCTATCATTCTTACCCAGCATGCCAAACATCATCAAATACAGATTTTACACATAGTAGTACTTAAGTGTTATTACTGTCTTCTATCTATAAAGATTCTTTATGGGCAAAAGCTTTACGCCATGTAACAAACTCCAGCCCTCTCTCCATTTTTTACTAACAAACTCTCAAAGGAATGTTAACTTTCATTAAAGTGTGAAAGGCACCAGAACAGTGCAGTGGTTCTCAGACTTAGCTGCACCTTGGAATCACCTAGGAGTTTTACAAGACTATTGATGCTTTGATTGCATTCAATCAATATAGTGCAGCACTGGATTTCCATCTCTTCCCTTCTCTCCTCTGCCAAATTTCTGTATAAAGTGGCAACAATCACCAAAATCCAAGTCTGGATGCTACCCTGCGCTCCCGGGTCCTGAAATCCAGCAGCACAGGTGACTTTAATAATTCTATTAAAGTTCTCCACATTAAGAGTCTGTTTTGCCTTTGTAGGCACAGATGGCTGGACTCCTTTATAGCATGCAAGAATGGGGTTTCCAGGATGTCTCTTGGTCACACACTAATAGGTCAAACACTAACACTAACAAGTCTACCAGGAACTGTAAGCCCAGTGAACTTCTTACCTCTCACGTTTGTCATCTATCACAACGAACCAAAATGCAAACCAACTGGTCAAACTCCTCTCCTAGTATCTCAGTCCTGCACAGCCCTGTGTTTTTCCACTTCTAATGCAATTTGCCTTATTTTCCACCGTGGAAATCACAAATGTGGGATCTGCATCTTTGATAAGCTCTCCCACAACCTCCTAATCTATATGAACCCCCTCAAGTGTCCCCAAGGTCACAGTGTTCCAGAGATATCTCCATTAAGGGGGGAGATACTATATTATCTGACCCCACTGAATGATGGGAGGAGCTGAGCAGACAGGTGAAGTTATAAAACACAGAAGGCAGGTGGGCTCTGGAGAGACAGAAGAACTCTTATTCTTGTGGCCCAACTTGCACCCTGGTAATGCTGGGAAAGAAAGGATATTTGGAAGGAGATTCTTAAAGGAGAGACACGTGGAGACACTTGAAGGAGACATGTGGGTGAGAGACATAGGGGGAAGGCTGACAGTGGCAGCCATTAGCTTGATGTGGTATCTCCTTCTGTCTCAGCTTTCTGGGACCTGCTCTAGAGCCCTTTTTCCATGGCTCCCCTTCTCCTAGAAGGTTCCTTAGACTTGTGGCAAGCTTTCAGGCCTCAGCAGGGCTGCTTTGGGTCATCTCTGTTTGACTGGACATTTACCCACAGGGGATGGGCAACTTGGGGTATTTTATTGGGACACGAATATTCTTTCTTCTCTTCTATTAAAGTTCTATTAAAGTTCTCCACATTAAGAGTCTGTTTTGCCTTTGTGACACAGATGACTGGACTCCTTTATAGCATGCAAGAATGGGGGTTCTAGGATGCCTTTGGTCACTAACAACAGGTACCCACCACAGAGCTGAGATCTAAACTTTATATAGATTAATCCATTCGGTCTTTGCTGGTCTTATTTTACCAGGATTTTCTATAAGACACTTCAAATTACCTAGGAATGAAAATTATTAAAAACAAAGAGCTAAAGTAATCTATGATGTGATTATATTACTGATTTTCTCAGATTTTGCAGTAAGCCAGGATCCAAAAACATTTTTTGAAATTCTTTTTCATTAATATAATGAACTCTGCCTAGAAGACATCTTCTAAATCATTTCTTTAAGACCCTGAATGCCACTCTGTAGAAAACTTCTAATAAATAAACAAACCATTTTCTACCAATGAATATGACTGCTCTCTCATGACCCACAAAAATCAAGTTTCCTATTTTCAAATAATCAGTGTTCTCTGTATATATGTTTAATGTTACCTCTTAGTAACAAAATTGAGAGAGAACAAAAATCACACAGCAAAATGAATTACAAATAAAAATCCCTGGACATAACTACTGTAGCAGGACATTCACCTGAACAAACAAAGCGATGATGGCGATTCCATGTGGCTTCCCCACAGCCTCATCAATGCTTCCAAACAGGGTGGAGTTCCAGTGTATCAGATGGAGCTGGGTGAACAACAAAAGAGAGGTCACCTCATTACTTAATGTACTTCTACTCAGAAAAACAATGACATAACTGTTCAAAGATAACTATATGGATACGGTGTCACAAGCAACAAGAGTATCAGATATAAACACAAATAAACTACTGTTTCAACACGTTTTCTGTATGAATTCCTGTCTTCTTATTTCTGAGCAGAAGTTATGCTTAATGGATTGCTGCCTTCTGAGTTCTGCTTTTGTCCTAATCAGGCGTACATGTAAAGAGACTCACAGATTTCACACTGCTTTATTTGCATTTCTTTAAATGCCATTCCCTCTGGATCTCAATGGCACAGAACTCCAGGCCTGGGTACACATACTCGAACTCATCTAAAGAATTAGTACCTGAACAATCAAATACTGTGTTGCTCAGAGTTTCCATCAAGAGTAACACAAGACCAGTCTCAAATTCTGATAAATTATTTCACCTCTCTAAGAATATCCAGAGATAGCATCCTCTAAAAAGAAGGCTGTGTTTTTTAAGTCAGAGTAAAATAATAAATGCTGATGCAGAGCTCTTTAAAAAAAGGCCATTTCCTTCACTGGAGATAAAATTTTATCTGTGATGGGATGACAAACAATGCTCTGGAGGACTCCTTCACTCCTAGCCTCATAAAGCTCTACAGCTTTCAAGTTTATCTAGAATATGCACTTGCTCCTCTGTGCTGATAAAACACTTGAAAGAAGCTAAATTCAATTCTCTGGTTAAAATCAAACAGGCACTGAGGTTCTTAGTGTAACTTTAGCTAGGTAAACCTGCTTAGAATACTATCTTCATCACTGAGCTTTGAATCAAGTTATAATTGCATACCACCTTAAAACACTGCCTCATTGAAAAATTAGCTCTAATCAAAAATGACTTAGGTGAGAGTCAATCACCATGCCCTTTTACTATCCATATTAAAATATTAAGAAAAATTATCATGGGGATTGCCACAAATTTTGGTGTTCCTAATGCTGATTTGTCCAGATAGAATTCAAGATTATAAAGCTGACCACTAGAGGGAGGTAATGAATCCTCTGCAGGTAACAAAGGGTAATTTAGGGAAAAACCAGGACTAGGCTAGATGAAGCTACAAAAAACCTCACATGGACTATGCCCTCCCAGTAAATGTAGCTGTCAAGTCACTGCCTTTAAGAAAACGATGCTCCTATTTACAATAGGTAAGCTATGGAAACAACCCAAATACCCAAAAATAGATGACTGGATCAAAAAGATGTGGTACATACACACAATGGAATACTACTCAGTAAATCAAAAAGATAAACTCATGCAATTTGCAACATGGATGGGGCTGGAAGGGATCATGCTCAGTGAAATAAGCCAGAAAAAAAAGAAAAATACCGGATGGTCTCACTCATAGCAGGAATTTAGAAAACCTAAATAAGGGACCAGGAAAAATATTAATCATAATAAAGTAAAAATCAAAATCAACAAGCAACTATAAACCAGAGACACACTACAGGAGGTGAGGGGGGAGAGAATAGGATCAAAACAAGGGTGGTGGGAATTGTATGGGGACTATAACCAAGATGAAAATGCATACATTGTGCAAAAATGAAAAATGATGTGAAAAGTATATAAAATAAAAAATTTTTAAAAAGAAAAAGAAAACTGCTCTATTACTAATGAAAGCCAGATCAATTCTAACCTTTCCTTTTCTGGCTACAACAATAGCATAGGAGTCCCAGAATTATATGCAAGAACTGACTGCCTTATTTAAAACAGCAAAGAAGGTGAAATCTGTCTTTACTGGATAAATTACAAAGTTCAAATCAACACTTTTCTTACTTCTCATAGCAACATTATGGAGCATTTTTTCCTGAAACAAAAAATAAATGTAAAAGCATGGTTTATTTTGGGAGTGCTTTTCATAATTCAGCAACATCATTACTAACATCTGCCTTTCAAAAACAGCTCCATATTTTTTGTGTTTACAAAATGAAGGTTCCGACTTCTTCCGTGTGTGCTGATAATGGTGACTTCATTTCAAAGAATGGGAGGCCGACTTTTGGTGGAGAAACCTGTCAGACACTGCCTGCATCAGCTGATTCATGTCAGTACCACCAGTCATCAAGCTGAGAATGGGCGCCCTTGATACCATGTCATGAAAATGGAATTTTACCTTTGTGGTTTTCCTCCTAATAACCTGTAACCCCAGTCCATCCATGAGAAACACATCAAGCAAATCTCCAGTAGGGGGACATTCTACCAAAAAACCTGACCAGCACTCATCAAGAACTGCCAGGGTCATCAGAAGCAAAGCCTGAGAAAATGTTTCAGCCAAGAGGAGCCTAAGGAGACATAAGAACTAGATGGAACATGTTTCACAGGTGAGATCTTGGAACAGAAAAAGGACATGAGGTAAAGGAAATGGAATTAAATAAGGGTACAATGATATATTGATGTTGATCTACTACTTATAACAAATAAACAATTCTAATGCAAGACATTAATAAGGGAAATGGGATATGAGTTTTATGGGTACCTTCTGTACTATATAATTTTCCTGTAAATCAAATAGGTATTCTTAGTTTTTTAAGAAAAAGAAAGTAAAGAAAAATGAAGGAAAATGCAGGCAGTTCAGGCAACCCAACCTAAAAAGCATTAACGATAGTGAAAGATTGCTATGACACTACATGACTAAGCACAAGAACACAAAATGGAAATAGCAGAGAACCTCTACCAAGTGTCATTCATTCTGCTGATGGGGGTCTTAAGTAATTACTTGAGACTTGGAGGTTCAGAGGAAGAAAGGATTCTTTCATCCCAGTCAACAAGGGACATAAGCTTTAAAAGCAAGGTTTCATCCTGGTACTTACTGAGAAACCCTCTTCTCTTGGAGGCTCTTTCTCTCATTTTAAGACCAAATAAAACACTAGAGATCCCCTTTCTACACCACTAGGAGATGATTAATTTAAGTATGAGGCAAACTTCCGACACATTCTGAAATCAGCTGTAACGTAGCAGTCAAAACATAGATGCAAAACCCACAGACACAACTCAATCATATTTTTGTTGACTCTCAGTTTTAACTGGCTCTTCTCCCTGAGGTCTTTCCCACTCCATCTGTATGAATCTGCTAGAACTGCTATAACAAAGTTCCATTGACTGTGTTTCTTAAACAACATAAATTCATTTTTAATTTTCCTGTGCTTCACAACATAGGAAGTACATACACATGATCTGTGTTCCAAAATTTGTTTAAGAAACAAATGTGCATGAAAGAAAAGTGATATGATAATAAGAACATGGTCTAGAAAATGATCAAGTGCCCCAGTGAGTCTATTAAAAGCAACAGACCCAAAATGAAGTCACTATACTAAGCCCAGGTCACCAAACCAAGGTTTATCTTCAGTGCAGTTATAAGCCTGCTTGATTGCCTAGTATAACTTCCTTGTTACCACTCCCTCCCAACTATAAATGTCTTTCATTTTGTACAAACTCCTCAGAGCTCCTTTACATCTGCCAGATTAAATGCTGCCCTGTTCATATCAATCTTTGCTCAAATAAACTCATAAAATTTTTGATATGCCTCAATTTATCTTTTTACAAGTATAAGAGAGGCTTAATAGAGGTCCAAGCAGACAGTTACTATCAGAAGAGGGAACTGGGAAGACTAACTTAAAAGCCTAACACTACAGATCCTCTCTGGGGTGTGTCTGGTCTTCAGCAGAATGCGGGATGGCAAGACAGAACACTGCACACTTATGCAACTCTGCCTAAAAATTCTTATAGGTAGCACTGTGCTCATAAAAGACCTCTGAGTTAGGAATCATAGTCTTACATTCTTGTTGCAGTTCCACTCTGCAGAACTGAAGTTCAGCTCTGCAAACTTCACAAGTCTTACTTCTTTGAGAGTCAGTCTCTGTCATTTGAGAGTTAAATACTAATAGCTCAGGTTACACCTTTCTCTGTCCTTGGAGAGTACTCCCTTTGTTCCTATGTTCTTATTACATTTTGCTGTGATAAGCATTTAGCTAGATGTAGCCTGAAAAGGCATAGAAGTGAGGTGATGGGAGCATGACTGAACACTTACAGTTTTGGGTGAAACTCGAAAGCTACATCTTACTGTTTCTAGAGAGGATAAAGGATAGATAGTACATTATCACACCTGCTGCCTAAATGTAGACAGTCCTATGCTGTGTGGTCCCCTCACTCCTTCAGGGTTCCTCTGACTAAAGATGATTTGAGATTGGACTTAGTCTCACTAGGTCTTCTCTGCTTTGTAAACGCAGTGCAGCATGTGGTAGAGGAGTTATCTTGTACGGTTAGAACCCAAACTCCTCCTATGGCTACCAATAACAGTAGCTGGCATACAAATGAATGAGAATTCCTCAACTGAAACAATGGGCAACCCACTCTCCCTTCAGTCATTTTCCCTCAAAAGGCTAAAGTCCTTTGCTTCCTCCCAACACCAGCAGTGGAAGTAGGAGAAAGCAGTATTCTGTAACAATCCAAGCCAAATCTTCCTCAGTTCTTATCATCTTCTCCCTACCTAACTCAATATATGGCCACATGCATTCACAATGAGGTGTCACCTCATACCTGTGAGAATGAATATTATCCAAAGACACAAAACAGCAAGTGTTGGAGAGGATGTGGAGGCAGGACATCTTGTACATTGTTCTTGGGGATGTTAAATTAGTGCTGCCATTTTGGAAAACAGTATGGATAGTCCTCAAAATATTAAAAATAGGAATGTCACACAATTCTGTTATTCCACTTCTGTGTATTTACTGCCCCAAACACAAAAACACTAATGCAAAGAAATATATATAACCCCATGTTTACTGCAGCACTATTTATAATAGCCAAGAACTGGAAGCAATGTTAATGCCCACCAGTTGACAAATGGATAAAGAAGATGTGGTATGTATACCTAGTGGAATACTATTCAGTTATTTTATAAAAATGAAATCCTGCCATTTGCAACAATATGTTTGGACCTAGAAGGAATTAT